TTTTGGCATTATACATGGATGGGTAGAGATTGAATTGGACATGAGAGCCCTTGCACTCCGCATTGATATATTTTTGATTTATTTAAAAAAGTATACCTCGTGTAATTGAAACCTTTTGTTATTTAGAAAAAAATAGTGCTAATTAATTGAAAATTTAAGTTTAATTTGGATTGGTATTATATTCAAATTAATCAAAATTGCTATAATTTAAAATTTTCATTATAATTTGGTTAATTTGATATTTAAAATGCTGTATATCTAAATTTTTTCAAAATTTATTTAAAAGTGAATTTTTGAATTTCCTTCCAACAATTTTTTCTAAATTTGTGATAAAAGAATTTGCTTTTTAAAGCAAGTACTATTTAAATTTTGCCCAACATTCTATCTAGAGCAGTGCTAGGGGCACTCACCTCTTGCACTCTCTGGCCAACACTTCCCCTTTCATTGGGCCACATAAGCTTGTTTCCCGTTTTGAAGTGCAACCTCTTACTGACCAGAATAACGTGGCCCAATAAAAGTGAAAGTGTTGGTTGGAAAGTGCAGAAGGCGAGTGCCCCTAGCACTCCTTTTCTATATATAGTAATTACATAGTAGAGCAATGCTATGGGCACTCGCCTCTTGCACTCTCTGACCGACACTTCCCTTTTCATTGGGCCACGTAAGCTTGTTTCAGACTTTGCAGTGCAACCTCTTACCAAGCATAATAACGTGGCTCGATAAAAGTGATAGTGTTGGCCGGAGAGTGCAGGAGGCGAGTGCCCATAGCACTCCTCTTACATATATAAGAAAATTATTATTTCCCTGAATATAAAATGGTATAGGCATATTAGTCTCTCTCTCATAATAATATATGTTTTTTTATTTTATCTTCAAATTAAAATTTTGGAAACAATATATATTTTTAGCTGTATTATCCTTAGCAAAAGAAATAGAGAAATAAAAATAAACAAAATTTTTTTATGATAAATGAATAATTAAAGTTTGGACACTTATTAATATATTATTCAATTTATCATATTATGTGACATATTTATTAAAAAATTATTATTGTTAATCTAAAATTAAAATTAAATAAATTTAAAAATGTAAC